TTTCATTCAAAAGCACCACGGAAAACTCAGAGGTGGCCGCCTTTTGCTGCGGAACAAGAAGAACTCAATTAGCCAGCACTTTCTGTGGCTGCTAACAGCAGCAGCACTCAAGGAAGTAAATGTTTCATGTTTTGTTTTGTATCGAGTTAAGATTTATTTTGAGTGATTTAAGACCAATTCTGAAGAAACAAAGTGAAGGCTTCAAATACAATATTAATTGGCTTTTATACAAAGTGTCTAACTCAGTACCTCCTTTCCAGAGAGACTTCAAAGGACTTTCAATTAAAATGGATGTTGGAGGTAAAATTTTACCTCCATCTAGACCAAATTCATAAATTTCAGTCCTGAAACCTTTTTTCATTCTCCATTAGGTGGCTGTAAAGAGAGGTAATGCTGTGGCTTGTAACCTCCAGGTAAATTGGATTATGGAGTAACCAATGATAGTTCTAATTTCAAAATAAACTTGACTACTCAGAGTTTGACTCCGGCCTCATCTAGACTAAGGAGAGGGCTGCAACACTGGCCATAAACACTGGCCATAAACAATATCCCACAGAGAAAAGGACTGGAGTAAGTGCATGTGATACAAATTAACCAGTGTTAATTTGCATCATACCATATCACTATTCCTACAACTAAGACAAGAAACCGTTTGCAACGCTATCCAGTTCCTTTTGGACAGCCTGGGAACTCTGCACAGGGTTTGTGCTGTTGCTCTTACTCTGTTCTTCCTGAGTCAGACACCCACCCGTGACATTTATCTCTTGACACTGTTTGAACTTATATATATACATGTATGGAACATGAACCTTAAAACAGGTGAATAATGCAGAATTTGGGTCAAAAATAAGGAATGTTTCCAGGCGTATTAATTCAGTAGTCATCTTCCTTGTAAGGACTCTGTGTCTGGTAGGCAGTGTATTGCTAGTTGACTGCTGTACCTAATGCAGCAGTCACTGCTACACTGTCACCAGCTGCAGGGCTGGCTCACCGCTGTTTCAAGGCAATTCCTTTGGAAGGTGCAGGGATTCATGCAGGGATCCATGCAGGTGGTGCAACTGTGTGTGATGGGATGGCAGTGTATGTTGGCTGCTTGAAGTTCTGACAGCAGCTAACATGCAGCTGCTTTCTTTTCCCACACATCTTGGTCATAAAAATGGAGAGCTAATACTTTTGTACAAAAAAACTTTGTGTTTCTCCTGATTATTGCTTTCTTTGACTGACAGGCAAATACAAGTGGTATCTTGCATATTTCCATTATTCTAACAACTGTGAATTTTTTCTTTGTTTAGACTCTGGTGTTCATCTACTTTTAGATACCAAGGTAACAGGAAGTTTTTAAATACCTGAGCAAGGTAAATAATTCAAACATTTTACAAAGTTTTAAGCTCTTGGGAGCTTATTTAGAGCAAAAGCAGTACACTTAAAGCATTCACATGCATTTTATGTTTGATTTTAATATTTTGATAGCAATATTTGACAAATGCAGTTTGATAGTTTTTTGAGAGGTGGTTTTGTTTGTTTGTTTGTTTTTAGTTGAGCAATTAGAGTCTTCAATGGCTTAAAGTCACTTTCACTAACTTCCCAAATACTATATCTGAAAAATAATTTATATTGTATGTGATTTAAAAAGTCAGTCTTACAGCTTTTCCTCTCTCATTTCTTCTCCAGATAACTTAATTTTTTAACATCAATGCATTAAAACGACTGCACATAGTCTCACCAACCACACAGTGTGACAGGACATAGCACTATACGTGGAAGGATAAAGGCTGGAAGCACGATAACTTAATTTTTTAACATCAATGCATTAAAACGACTGCACATAGTCTCACCAACCACAGTGTGACAGGACATAGCACTATGTGGAAGGATAAAGGCTGGAAGCATATTGATCTTTTTGATTCCTGTTACACTGTGAGCTTCTCCAAACATGCTGCCACAGCCAGTGGAGTTAATTTTATCCTCATCTTGGCATTTTAGGCATCTACAGAGTGCCAAAGACACTCTTTGTTGTTATTTGTTTATCCAGGTGCTGCTGTATGTGCCATGGACCGTGAAGAGAAAGAGCACCAGTGTTGGTGAAGGTGTGCAGAGCGACAGCCATCCCACTGCTGTGTGTGGTGATTAGGCAGTGTATTGTTAGTTAGCTGTTCCTCACACACAGCAACTGACTACACTGTCAGATTGGCACATCACAGTCCAGACAAGAAGATAAACACTGCTGCTTAAATATCTCGTTGGTCCCTAGCTGGTCCAGTGCCGAAGGGAAATGTGCGAGGTTACGCAGACTGAGTGAATGCAGGGTTTAAAATAAGATGTAATAGCTGTAATTCAGTATACAAGAAATGTAGTTGTATTTCACACAGTTGTACATCAAACCCCACTGGTTCATAAAGAATCTACTGAATTATGCAAATACTAAGTAACAGTTTCAGGTTTGAACCCTGTGTGAGTATGGTTCTCTTACACTACTAAATATTGAAGGAACAGTGATCTGTTGGCTCAGCAAACAAGTATTTTACTTGAATTTACAGGAACATGTACTACTGGTGACTGAAGTGGATTTAGAATATTTTCACTCCCAGGCAACTTTTTGGAAAGAGAAGCTCGCAGTTCAATGATATTTGTTTGAGAAAATAAGGATATGTCAAACTAAGGGAGTGAAGGAAGCTTGAGATGGGAATGGAGGATTAGGATGAAAGATGCAATAGGTTATGCTCAAATAGAAATAAAATAACTTTAATACTCATGGACTGACCTTTGTTAAGCATCATAGGAGGGAAGTTAAATCTTAAAGTGGGGGGATTATTCAAAAATCCAAGAAACAGGTTTCAATCTGTTTAAAATGTTGGAGTATATATTTTTATATGCTATATTTTAAATTAACTTAAAGTGGATATTTATATAGACATGCATTCACTCTACTTCCTTGGCTTTTGACTATAGATAAATGTTTGTTTGAATAACATATTCTGACTTTCATTTTATTTGTTTGCTTCTCCAAGATTTGGCCATTAGATGCTTCATTTTTACCAGATAACTGATAACATACCTGTAAGAAAGGAGTGATTAGTTTATCAATGATGTGACCTAAATAATATATTGCAAGAGCTGGCTGTCTCATGATGTATAAGTAATACAAACACATGGAGTTTTTGTTAAGGAGGAATGTTAATTTGTTGAGGAATGTTAATTAAAAGTAAATTTTGAAAAAACTTAAACTGTGTTGAATCAGGACTGAACAATACCTATACTGAAATTTCTTCAGAAGATGGTTGTACTGCATTGTGAATAAATAGTGGAATGAGAAGTTCCATGACTGGTTTATCAGAAAAAAAAATCTCTCTCTAGTACTCTGGAGTGAATATGATTCAGGAAGCCGTGAGTTAAGTAATTCTGTCCACTTGTTTGCTAATATCACATGCTATTTCTGAATACCAGGAAAGACACTTGATCTTAATGCTGGCATTGAGATATTCAAGATTACACTGTGTCCTCTGGAAAACAATATGAGCTTCAGTGAGTGAGTCACAAACAAGGTGCACACATTTCCTTCCCTCCCACTCCTTTCAAGCAAGAAAATCATGCCTCACTGTTTATCTTGAATGTTTTAAGACCCAGGTCAAATTTCCCATATGCCAAATAACTCTCAGGTAGTACCAGGAATAAAACAGGCATTTTTTTGGGGGGGTCTTCCACTAACAGCACCAAACATTTCTTTATACCTACCCTTTTTTATTCAGTGATACAAAAAACAGGGAGCTTTGGTAGCTCACATGAATAGACATGCATGTCTTAGACTTTAGTACATTTTCAAGTTTGCCCACCTTTTATGGGCAAAACACTGTGTCCTGACACAGTCTCATGGAGCTTCAACTGCTCCCAGTGAGGGGAGAGGATCCATATCTCAGCTCCCTTCCTGCTCCATCAAAACAGCAGAGGCAGGAGGAGACAGGAGTAAAATGCAGGACCTCAGCATAAAAATAGGCACTGTCATGACAGATTTGATGTGGAATCTTGCAGGACAATGGCAAACAGTGCAGATACCAGCAGCAGGCTCATTTGGTCTAATGAGACTTTTACATAGTCCTTAAATGGGCTCTGAAATTTTGGGGGAATAAAGTTGTCATGCATTGAGTTCCTTTCCAAAAGTGTGTTTGTCATTATTGAGAGTGACTTTGTTTAATTTTCCACATCAGAATAATTACTCAATCTTCATAGATTTTTTGTGAAATTCTCAATTAATTCAATAAGTGAATAAAAAAAACCAAACAACCCCTCTTTTTAAAAGAAATTGCTCTTGAATTTCTCACCATTTTTATACAGTTGAGTGGCTGTCGTTACTGGAAAAAGTCTTGAAGCACTTTAGGTATTTTCAACCAGCGTTACTCTTACAAGAGAACAGCACTAATTCTACCCATCCTTTTCATATAGAATATTCTACTGAGACACAGGTTTTTCTCATTCCTATTATCTCAGCCCTTCTTCAAGCCATGGACAGCTGGAGTGAGGTTTCTTACTCAAGCTTTCTATCTTCCTTCATTCAAACAGATAAACCAGAACTCCTGGCAGTTTGTAAGAGAAGAGTGGAACAGAACTGGAAATGGGTTAGCAGTTACATGCAGGACTGAGGTGTTTGCAAGGTGGGAAACTGGGGCTTGAGCCATGAGCCTGCATCTCCTTCTTCTACCTCTACTTGAAGATTGCCATTTTTATTCTGGAGATGAAAGGTAGATGGGTGGCTGGGGAACATTGTTTTGGATTGTCTCAGACAGATGTCTGTTAGAGTGCCAGGCTCTTGGTTTTTGTTGCCCCTTGAATCCTTCTGTAAGCAACCATACATATTTGCACAGGCCCAGCCTTCATCTAGGTCAGAAGAGAAATAATCCAGCAGGATAGGGGCTCACGTCTGAGGCACTGTACTGCATCACAAATGTATGGAGAAGGTTGAAGACTTTAAAGGTGTTGGAAAACTGAAATGTAAAATATACAAAATATGAAGCAGCAAGCAAACTTTATTTCAATTTTGGTGCTTCTTTTAATAATTTTATTTTCCATGTACATTTTTTTGCAACGGGCAGTTTCACAGTTCAGTAGTCTTCCTTGAGAAGATATTGCAAAGCTGGTATGTTCAGTTATATATATGAAACCCTGCTATGGATGTCTCTGGGTCCCATGTCTTTCTTGACAGGGTAATTATGTGTTAATAGAATATAAAATCTCTGTGTTACTGGTAGATGGGGGAAAAAAACTGTGTAAATATGAGTAATTTATTAATAAACCTTCTTTCTAACTATTTACCTGCTGGTGAAATTTTTAATTAGCTGTTGAAAAGGAATCATAAACCCTTTATGCAAATTGATGGTCCCTTCTGCAAAGTACTGAGTGCCTCACTGTGTCAGTAACCTCAGTGTTCTTGAGGCCACTGCAGGAGCCAGTCCAGAACTAGAAGACAAATTGCAAACCAAAGTTAAAGACTAGCAAAATCACCTGATGGTTTAGCTTCTAGCAACGTTTCCCAGGAATGTAGAAAGGCTGTATACCCATGGGGTTGAACAGCTTTTTCAGAGGTCTTCTCTTTTCTTCATGATAATCTGCCTGATTAATGATGTTACCTCTGGTTTGATACTTTCTATTGGCTCTTCAGGTCTCCAGAACTTCACGACTTTACCCTCAGGGTTAACAAGATACTTCCAGAAATTCCATCGAGGCTCTTTCTTTGAAGAATCTGTAAGGATGAAATCAGATAATTTTAGCGACTTACACCTTGAATTGTCTGCAGGCCCCACTCTGATTCTCTGACTATTTATGCTGAAGTAATGCCACCATACTCTTTGCTAGTAGTCTGGGCATGGATTTACTGATTGCTGGTAATTGTTGATGCTATCTGAAAAATTAGAAGTCAGTGATGCTCCCCCCTTCCTGTGAAACTGTTAAAAGAGTTCCTACTTTTGCTATGCTATACTTCATAGGGAAGAGGACACAAGGGCTGCATATTTATTCAGGGAATCCCTAGTTTTATGTCCGTTTTGGGAAGTTGTACTGGTAAATTACAGCTTAATTGTAGCTGTAATTGAAGTTGTAAGGCTTAATTAAGCTGCTTTCAAAAAAGGCTCCAGTAGATTTTGACTGGAGAACAAGTGTTTGGTTGGGAATGGGGCTGAACCCTAAACAGGTTTTCTTAAGCAATGGATTGAAGTTTGGCACCACACTTGTGCTGCAAGCGGACTAATTTTCCACTAGATGATTGGACAGTGCTGTTGCCATCCTGTTGCTAGTAGTCACAGGCACAAAAGAGTGGCAATAGCATGATGTTCAGCCTTCTGATTGTCAAAACAGCAACATGAGTAAAACAGGTACTTTAATTGAAAATGCACAGGAATTTGATGTGAAACACAGGAATACAGGAAGAGAAAAACTTTATTTCAGAATATTGAAGTACCAAAGGATCTTTCTCCTTCCTGTAGGTGAACAGCATGTCAAATAATAAAATTTGAGTAGAACTTTTTTTCTTTATAGGTATCAATGTTTAACACTGATGGCACTGATATTTAGAATCTGTATCCATCACACAGAGCGGGTTCATTGTGCTTTAGTCTTTTCTATAAAGAACTGAGAAAACCCTCAATAATTCCACATCTGGCAGCTCAGGGCAATAAAGTTACCTGAGGTTTTTACTAGCATGCCTAAGAGGAGGTAGGAGCAAACACAGTTACAATGACAATGGTGGCGACTTAAATGATTCCTCAATAAAAGCAATTTTCAAGTACACAGGAAGTATCTTGGGGGATATAGCATGTAAGAGTTCTGGGAAAGATTTTGTTTAGGTATTGAAACAGTTCTCTGACAAGAGGCACTATGAGAGAGTGAAATCAACTCTGAAGGCAAGGAGATGGAATAAAGGTTTAGGCTCTCTGCTACTTTATTTTCTGGGTAAAATGGTGTGTTAGAAATGGGTTATGTTTAAGCTATTTTTTTTTCATATATCAATATGGTTCAAAACCTGGTCAAAGCTCCAGAAAAATCAGAGAGGCTTTTCAAGTTACCTTTGAGTCTATGAGAACTTTGGCCAAATGAAAGGAGAGAGAATTTAATTTTGCTTGTGAGAATATGACGTTCTAAGTCTGTAAATGTTCACTGTATTCATGCAGGACTTTGCAGGCTAGGTCCTGAAGTTCACATGACAAATTAATACAAATCAGTAGTTATATATAACTAGTATATGTAAATTTGCTTTACAATACAGTTTACATAAAGGTGGACATAGGACCTAGCTAAAAATCTCATCTGCATGTGTTTATATAAAACCTCCTGGTAATTTTACGACTCCCATAGCTACATTTGTGTCCATAAGAAGTCTTTTTAAAAGCAAAAATAATGTACTTTGGAATAGGATTTTGTAGGTGGGAGTTTCTAATGCTAGCATTTCTAGCAAAATGGATGTTTCTAGCTGGGCTGGTCAGACCAGACAGGTTCTGTGAGCAGTGAGGAGAAACTGATGTTTTCAGGACACAATTCTTTAGCCCATATTTTTGATTTCCAAATTGAAATGAGAGTAATTGTACATTAAGTGCCTGTTTCTCTCCATAGTTTATGAAGACTTCAATATTTCCTGACAAAATCATGCAGCCTGGATTCAATGAGAGTACCATGATTACAGGCAGCTTGATACATAAAAGAAAACAGTTACCTATTAGAAATTTAAAGGCGGGATCTGCTTCTGATCCTAGGATCTTGATTTTGTGGAAAACAGGGAATGTTACTCCATAGTTTCCTTTGGCAAAAGATTCTATTTCCTGGCTTGAGCCAGGCTCTGATTCTCCGAACTGGTTGCAGGGAAACGCCAGCACAGTGAAGTGGGAGGGACCAAACTCTCTGTGCAGCTCTTGCAGGGCGATGTAATTTTTGTCTGTGTATTGGCAGTAACTGGCCACGTTTACAACCAAAGTTGCCTTCAGAAAAATAAAGTTAAAATAACTTTAGTTATTGGTTATTAGTTATTTAGTTATTAGCTATTATTTAGTCTAGTAAGGAAAAAGCCTGTAGATTTTGCAGAGATTGCAATTAAATCTTAAAATGACATTTCTCATAATCATGACGGTTCCTGTCGGAAGACTAAACATAATGTGTCTGATCATCATTTCAGCAAACAAATAAAGATGAAAGCAGCTGGAGATATTTACAATCTGTTGTAAAAACATAGTAAATGCATAAACTTAATCTTACAGCTTTGTTTATATATAAGCATTTAAAAAAGCAGATATTTAGGACATGCACTAAAATAATATTTACTAGATAAACTTCCAAAATCCAAACCCGACATTCTTAACTAAGATTAAAATCCACCAATTTGCCTGTTAGGCTGTATTTGACCTGTGCTAAATAATACAATTTATTTTCTTGATTTGTTAGATCTAATACTTGATTCCTGGATCAGGCCTAGATAAAATAAATTTTCTCCAGCTTTCTGTATGAAGAACAGGAATTTAGCACAAAACTCTGCCAAAAACTCTCACAACCAAGAGTTTTATTTACCTAGAAACGTATACATTTTTTGTCAATATGGATTCAAGACAGAAAAAGTGAATTAATAACTTACTTTCCCTCTGTACTTCTCCAGAGAAATAATCCTTCCACGTGAATCCTTGACTTCAAAAGAATAAAAATCTTTGATTTTAGGTTTAAAAAGCCTGAGTTGCAGCAGGCAGAGAATGGTGGTGCACAAAACCATTGACAGGAAGACAACAAAGATCCTGGCTTTGTGCACTGAGTATTTCAGAGGATAACTAGTTGTGAAAGGCTCCATTTTTGAAATCTTTGTGGAGGAGCCTGGGCAGGCCTGGAATGTGAAGGAGGAGCTGAAACATGAGACTCTCAGCTCATACCGGAAAGAACAAGCTGCTCGTTTTTGTCCCTGTTGCAAAAGAGCTGTAACATATCACAGTGCCTGCTGGGCTTCTGAGCACTTACGTAAAGTATCGGGATCTTTTGGGGCGGAAAAGGGATGGAAGGGGGGAGAAGAAATGAATGAAAAGGGTGTAACTATCACCTAAGGAGGCTCGGAGTGAGTGACCGCTGTGGGATGCTCCAGTGTGTGTCTGCACTGCCCTGACAGCTGCTGGGACAGGACTGAGCTTGTGGTGCAGCTCCAGCACATCCCCTGGGCCCCCAGATGTATCTGGTGGAGTTGCTCTGCAGGAGGCAGCTGTGCTATCAGGCAGACTTGGAGAAGCATTTCGGGGGACAGCTGTTCAGGTAGAAAAAAGGCAGGATGGCTGAAACCACCCTGTTTACAAACCCAGCCCTGCATCTCATCAGCTGCTGAGGGATCACAGACAGCTGTGTAAAACTCTTTTCAGCACATGGAGCAGAGAAAAACTCCTTGGCTGTCATAAAGGAAGATAATATAATGTGGATTGTTTTTTATATCGAGAGTGGGGATGATAATGGAAAATGGGTTGCTTTCTTAATTGTTACTGGCTACCTGGCAACGAGCTGTAGCGAGATGGTAAGATTGAAGGTCTGCGTGAGAGAAGAGTTAGCTGAAAGTCTCAGGTCTAAGCCAAGCTCCAGTGGTGTTTTGCTGCTTGTGAATTTCTGCTTACTCTCTTTCCCACCCAGTGCAAACCACCATGGAAGAGTCATTTTTGTCTCAGCTGGTTTTCTTTGTCACCCTGATTTTTTGCTGCACTTAGATGATGCGTTTTAAAGGATGGAAATAGAAGGGGCTTTTCTGGATGTAAAACCTGAAATCTGCTTGTTTCTTCCTTTTTGGTGACTTCAATATTACTACCAGTATAATTGATTTGTACAATATCATAGTGGTATGTTCAACTATTTCTATAATCTCTAAATTGCTAAAATCCACATTCATTTTGTTTAACAAGATTATAGGAACAGCTTCACACTGTTCTACAAGACAGAGAGATGCTGAGGAAACACTGTGAAATTTCAGTATTTGTATATGAGGACATGTTAGGCTTTGTCTCTGCCTGGCAGTGAGGCCTGTGAGCATGGTGTTTTGATGGTGTGGAAGAAAACACAGGCTTCTGTGCTGAAATGAACAAAGCTGTACTCACAAGCAAGCACAGGTGACTAATGCTGACCTTAAAGGCAAGAACAAATGTGTTGGGTTACAGAAAATCCACATAACATCCTGATGTCTAAGCTACATCTCAAGTGTTTCCAATTTGTATCTTATATTATTTCAGAACAAAATAAAAGAAACAAACAAAACTTAATATATTATAATGCTGGTGTACCTAATAATTACCCAGAAGCCTGTTATATGAACTGTGTCTTCTTTTGTAACTCTAAACTAAAACCTTGCTCAAAATCTATCTCAAAACCAAAATATGTTGTTTAATATTGTCTGGGCTCTTACATTTTAAGTTGTGATAGGTTTTTCAGGTTTTATGGTTTTCTGACCATAAAATTGCCCTATGAATGAATTTGAAAAAATGCAAATAAAAAGACCAATTGAATCTTTACTTAGTATCCCTCAATAGATTAAAAATACAAGATAGATAACGTTAAAAATAATGATATGAGTAAGCTGAAGTGGTGGTGAGAAGGTTCAGAAACCAGAAGAGATCTAAGTCCTTTTTCATGGGTGGAGATCAGAGAACCTGCTTGGTTCCAGGCAGAAAACCAGTCCCTCTCTCGGAAACCCCCAGACCCCAAAACCTGTGTTGCTGTGTGGCTGAAGGTGCCTTGGGTCGCCAAAAGCTGGTGCGTGCATGACACAATTGTAGGTTTTTTTGTTGTTTGTTTGTTTGTTTTCTTCCCTGACACAGGCTTTCTGTGCCAGCGTTGATCAGCTGCACATATCCGAACAGAAACCTTTGCTTTGCACTATTTTCCCAGTCTGCTCACTCTTTCTTGGCGGCTGTCGCTCTTAGGCAAGGCCACGGCAGAATTAAAAACAACGCGAGCTAAGGCCAGGCTGACATTGAGCCTTGGCTGACCCGGGATTTTGGCGTCCTGCCGCCGTGCTGGGTGTCCCGGGGGAAGGCTTGGTGTGGCGGGCACTCGATGGCAGCGGGGCCAGGACAGCGAGCACAGAAACACCCCGGGTGGAGGGAGGATGGCCTCCTCAGGGATTGCTGGAAGAGCCTGCGATGGGGAATCTGTGCGAGGTGAGCGCCGGTGTTTCCCGTGTCCCGCTGTCTGCGCAGGCTGCCCAGGCACAGCAAGCTCCGGGACAGCATCCTCTCATTTTTTAAATTTACACCGAAGTACTGGAGCAAGTCCAGAGGAGCGTAGCAAAGCTGGTGATGGGTTTGCCGCACAAGTCCTGTGAGGAGGGGCTGAGGGAGCTGGGGGTGTTTATCCTGGAGAAAAGGAGGCTCAGGGGAGACCTTGTCACTCTCCACAGCTGCCTGGAAGGAGGCTGTGGCCAGGTGGCGTTGGTCCCTTCAGCCAGGCAATCAGTGACAGGACAAGAGCAAAACCTCCAAGCCATTAGGTTTAGGTTGGCCATCAGAAGGACCTTCTTCACAGAAAGGGTGATTAGACATTGGAATGGGCTGCCCAGGGAAGTGGTGGAGGCACTGGCCCTGGCGATGTTTAAAGAAAGACTGAGCATGGCTCTTAGTGCTATAGTCTGTTGAAATGGTGATGTTGGGTTATATTCTGAACTTGATGACCTCAGAGATCTTTTCCAGCCTAATTGATTCTGTGATTTTCTCACAGGAGCATGCTGTTGTCATGAAAGGAAAGCTGTACCCAGGGTTCCCTTTCCCAGTGTGCAGACAGCTTAGGGCAGCAGGCTGTGCAGACAGCTGACACTGAGTAGGGTGAAAGGAAAGAGGAAAAAACTGGTCTTATCCCTAGCCAAGGAGTGTTTTTGGCAGACTAGCCTTATTTTCTTGTGATGTGGAACACACAGGAATGGTTTTAAGTTCCATGGGACTGCAAGAGGCCACAGGGTCTTTACCAGCACGTTCACATCTGGAAAAGTTATCAATACTGCCAGAAGGGCAGGAGAGCTCAAACAGGCCTCTCCTTTTCTTCCTTCTGCTTCTGCTTTACCTAACTATTGTGCAGCTCCTGCAGACCCAGCCATGAGTGCAGAGCAGTCCAGAGGCCTGGATTTGGTGTGGATTTGCTCTCATGGGAGGAGGAGCTTGCCTTGCGTGGTTGTTTCTTCTCAAATGCCTAAGGCTTCATTAATTGACAAAGGAACACCACCCAGGGGACACCCACACTCTGGGTGTGGGTGAGATCGACTGGGCCTTTCAGAGTGCAAATCAAACTTCCACTGCTCTGGAGGAGAGACGGTTCTAGGGGAGGCTGTTTCCCTCCGTCAGCAACAGAGGGAGCTGAGGGAACGCCGAATGAGCTTTGAGAGTGCTGGCTCCGGCTTCCAGCAGTGCTGGGGGAAAGTGGGGAAGGGTTGGCATGCTGCGTGTCCACAAAGGGCTTCCTGGAAGATGTAGGGAACTTCACACGGTTGACTTCTTGGTTAAGAACTGAAATATTTAGAAAACGAACAAAAGATGCTCCTAAGTGCTCTGGATAAGTTCCTATGTTATGGTCAGAAAGTCTAATTCTCTTTTCTACTAAGGAGAATAACAGAGCTTTTCACTAATGCATGCTCAGGTCTAGGAAACTCTGTCTCTAAAACAGTCTGAAGTCTTCCCGTCTCCTAGAACAGAAAGTTCTGCATGCTGCCTCTACAAGCACTGGTGAAAGCCTGTGTGGTCCTGGGAAATCAGAGGTTAATTTTCTAACAAGCAGGATTTTCTGCAACTAGTCAATAAACCTAAGCCCAAACATGAGCTGCAGTAGTAAACAAGCACTCTTTACAAAGGGAATGATCAATCTGATTTTGTTTGACATCTCTTTTAGGATAAGATGAATAGTGCTGTAGAAATATCTCTTTTTCTCACTGACAGAAGGAAAGTAAGGTGACTGCTCCAAATGTCAGTATCTGAGCTGCCCAACTTAGTGTGCAGATCTGCTTTCTGAGTACTGCTTTTACACAATCAGTGCTCTTCTAAAAAGTGCTTGACATATATTCCAATGCACATTTTTAAAAGGAATTTTTTCCATTCAAACTGTTTTTACAGTAACAGCTCAGATGCCTAAGAAATTCCCTATCATGAAAACTTCTCTACCTAGCAGTCATGCTGCAACAGGTTTGGAAGAAAGGAATAACAGGAGAGCTGAAACAGAGAAGTAATAGGTGAGTTATTCCATATTCAAAGGCACAGACAGGGTATTTGCTTTTCCAATGTGTTTTTTTACTTATCTTTGGCCTGGAATCAGTTCTGAGGATACTACCTTATTGACATGGATAACAATAACATGAGAAGGTCCATTTAGGAAATGTCTGCTGGAAAAAAAGTTAAGAGTAACTTTTTTGTCATTTATTTGATTCAGCTTTTCTTCTTTTTCCCTAGGCTATTATTCTGTAAGCTAAAATCAAAACTAAACCAATGAAGCCCCCAAGATGAGTTTGTTACCCCTGAGAGTAAGCATATATTGAAAGAAATGTGCATGAAGAACATGAATGACTCAGTTTTCCACTTGCTTTAACAAGCACTGTGTGTGAAGAAGATAATTGCTTCAGTTCTTCAGGATGTAGCTGTTGATTATGACACACAGACAGAATGAGGCGCTATGAAAAAATTACTAAAAAGTTACCAAAAAGTACCTTTCTCAGAATATTGTTGTGAAAATAGGTTGTCAGATTTTGATCAAGGTTGAAAGAACACAAGGAATCTGCTTAACATGTGAAACAAAGACTTCAGAACACTTCCTGTTTAAGTGTTATTTTCTATTGCTGTACATTTTATCAGTTTATTCTTTGTAGTGAACTCTGGCACACAATTTTTTTTCCCTTTTTTAGGCAGTATCCATGCCTTTTTGGACCATAAATCTATGCTTCAGCTACGCACCTTCATTAGTGAAGAAGTTTCTCTTCTGTACAAAATTGACTTCTTGTGTGAAACATTGGTACTTATGTTAGAAAATCTATTACCACAATATGACACTCAAAACCTCTTCTCTACTTTAATGCTATCTCCTTGTGACTGTTCAAATATTAAGATGGAACTTTTTAGTCAGTGGTTACAATTTCTCCTGTTCTTTCCTTCCTTGGATTGCACCAGTTCCAAAGTTGATATGAAGAGGTTAATAGCTTCTTTCACAAAATTACTCTTTTGACCATAACTATTGAGTGAACTTGCTTCAGAAAAGCATACCTACTATCCTTTTTTATAGCATTTTATAATCTTAATTCATATAATTGAGACATTTCTGTGAGGGTATTAAACTGAAGTTCTAAGAAAAGGAGGTGGTATCAGCATTGATGGACTAATTAGGGTTGTTGTCTGATGCTTTGTAATAGTGGTAATCTTGAACATCTCTGGATGTTGGTTAGAGACCATGCTTTTATATCATTCTGGGAAACCTGATTCTTGGGACAACCACATAATTTTCTTAATAAACAAACTAGTCTTTAAATCCTTCCTTTCAACAAAAACCAGTGTTTTCTTTCCTCTCTCTTCCATCCATCAACTGATTGGAAAGTCAGTAAGTTTTAGAACTCTTAAATAAACAACTCAATTGTTTTAATAGTCTTATGTCAATCTAGCCAACAGAGAAATTGAATGTAACTGCTCTTTTTTGATGAGATGATAAAGTCTTTTCATGAAGTAATGTACAGAAAACATTTTTCTCTTATAATGAAACATGTTTTAGAAGCTGAGTACGTGTTGTTTTGTTCAAATAGAGTAATAGAATTATTTGGGTTGGATGGGACATTATTTAAATCTAGTCCAAACCACCTGTAATGATGAGGGACATTTTCAACTTGATCAAGATGCTGAGAGCCATGTCCAGCTGGGCCTTTGATGTTTTTAGGGATGGGGCATCCACCACCTCTTCAGGCAACATGTTGCACTGCTTCACCACCCTCACCGTAAAAATCTCTTCCTTATACCTAGTGTCAATCTCCCCTCCTTTAATTTAAAACCATTACCTCTTGTCCCATCACAACACGCCCTGCTAAAAGGTCTGTACTTCTCTTTATCATCCCCCTGTAAGTATTGAAAGGCTACAATAAGGACTCCCCAGGGTCCCTCCTTCAGGCTGAGCAACCACATTTGTCTCAGCCTGTCCTCAGAGAGGAGTGCTCCAGCCCTCTGATCACTTTTGTGGGTCTGCTCTGAACCCACTCCAGCAGGTCTTTCCTGTGTTGACAGCCTCAGAGCTGGACACAGCATTCCAGGTGGGATCTCACCAGAGTGGAACACAGAAGCAGAATCACCTCCCTTAAATTGCTGGCCACACAGTTTTTGTGCAGCCCAGGATACAATTGGTTTTCTGGGCTGTAACTGCCCATTTCCAGCTCATGTCCAGCTTTTAATCCACCCATGCCCCCAGATCCTTCTGGGCAGGGCTGCTCTCAATCTGTTCATCTCCCAACCTGTGTTGATACTGGAGGTTGCCCTAAGCCATGAGCAGCACCTTGAACTTGGCTTTACTGAGCCTCATGAGGTTCATGTGGATTCTATGAAAACCTAGATTTATACTGTAACATACATGTAGAAATTTGAGGTGGAGCAAATATATTCAGAGTTCTAGATCCAGGACTACAGCCACTTCCTAAATTGTAATATGGGCATCTTTGTAATACATTATGGTGTGATCCAAAAAGTGAGTTCTTCCTAAAACCATTTGAAAGTCAGTCTTGGCTAAACCCATATGAAAATGTACTTATCTTCTCAAATACAGTAATAAATGACTATTTACTTTGTGCAGCCTGTTAGTATAAAGGAATGGGATCTGTTGAGAATAGTCTGTTGAAAATAGAATCTTCTCACATACCAGTGAGTGTGTGTGGTCTCTCTGTGGGACAGAATATTACTCCCTTGCATACACAATCAATTTTCCACAGAGATGTCTGCACTGATTTTAGAGGGACACATATCCAAGAAATGTGATTAGCTTTCTGCCAAGTTGTCAGTATAAATCTTACAGAAAATGCCTCTGAAAGCTGAAGGCCTGCTGTAGAACAGCTGGAATATATACAGGAGAAACACTTCTATTTTCCAGTTATGTTTTTCTAAGACCTTTCTTGTCATGATTGCAACAGGGTTTTGAAGAGGAGTAACACAGACTGTGCATGGAAGGGCAGATTTCACAGACATTGGACAGAAAGAGTTCACTAATCTTGAGTGGGTAATAAAAATATCCACTGCATTTTCACATTGCTAGATATAAATAATTACAGAACAAACAGAAAATTGGCATCAGAGCATTTATCTCAGTGATCATTGTGAAGAAATGCATATTCTTAGGAATTGATGATGATATACCTGTCTTACATGAGCTGATCTGAGTCTTTGAATCTCAGTTAGAGACCTAATGATTCAGATCTCTCTTTCTTTATTCTTGCTGTATCACCTCTTTCTTTCATACCCAAGGAAATGTTAATGTAATTTTCAAGATAATATTCCCCAGAATATAGAATATATTGTAGCTGTTTTCCACTTTATGTTGTAGCACTGGTTTAGGGAATGGGATCATGGAGTGGAGTGTCTGTGAGCCTGGTTTGAAGGTGGGCTCTGACATCCAGGGGGTGTCATGCTGTAATCAATGGCCCTGCAGTGTGTGCACCACAGAACTGCTCCTCCCTCGCAGACAGATTTATTGACAGCATCCAGGAAACGTCGCTGCAAGCTCATAGCACTAGTCCAAATGCCAATTCAGAAAAGGATAAGAGGTCACTAAGGTTTTACAGGTGACCCAGGCAGTAACTCCAGATGTACAGGTTTGGACCTTCTACTGCTAAGGTGGCCGTATTCAAACAGCTTTGTTAAAGTGTGTGTGATCATTAGCAGTGAAATCGTGTTTTATGGAAGGAAAAATACCTCAAGTCTCTCAGGTTAGAGCAATATGATTTTTGAACACAAAAAAAATTTTATATTCTGTATTTGGTATTCATTTCCCATCTCAGAGACAGGCTGTTTTGAGGCTTTTATGTAATGACTATTGAGTCCTTTGATGGGATTGGTGTTATCCATGGTATTTAAATATGTTTTTCAACTGACTTCTTAACTCAGTCATATTTTCACTTCAGCTTAGCTTCCGATGGTCCCCAAGGTTGGACATAGCATTGCAGAAAGTGTTGATGTGAAGGTCTTGGAAAATACTAGTTGTATCTGGAAAGGTATGTTCCAATTTTCAGGCACACCGAGCAATAAGATGCTACAGTCTACAGCTACACTGGAAAAGCAAGTGCATCTACCTCTCCCAGTAAGAGTTAGAGAATAATACAAAGAGGCTGAGAGCTACCTGCCCACAGCTATTTCTAGGGTTCTCACAACCTCTGAACACATAGTATTTCAGGTTTTTCAGTGTGGTTAACTCCTAGCATTTTACCTTTCTCTGCTTTGGTCCCCATATGATACACTGGTGGTCCTAAAACATTAATTTCCTGTCAGCTGTTCTGTTTCAGAACCCTACAAGCGGCATAGGGCTGTGCTGTGGAAGGGGCAGGGGATATATGTTATATGGACAGTTGAGTACATGAGATCAGGGCATGCAGAGATAGTGGAGTTTTGCTGCTCTGGCCTGTAGGGAAAGGTCAAACTTTCCCTAGCACTGTTGCTGGTTTCATCTGTGGGGGAGTTGATTAATTTACTACATAAAATATCCTATGAATGACTGGGCATTAGGGATTGTGAATGATCAAGTGATTTGAAAACAGGGGGAACCTGAACAGAAATTATACAGGCATTCCCGTACTTATTTGAGTGTGATAGAGTTCATTACATATCTGACTAATATTTGGTATTTTCTGTCTTGGACAGATTATTTGTTTTGGTGCTCTGGCTATTTCTCTTTATGAATCTGGATTTCATCCCATGTAGAAGAAATTGGGGTTTATGTGATAGATATTTATTTTCTTTCACAGCTTTCCTCAGTGCAAATAAGCCTCATTTCAGAGCAACAGTATAGGGATAAATCCCAGTGTTTTTTTCCCTTGATGAAAATTGAATGTAGGCTTTAAGAATACCAAGTTTGATGCCACCCACCTACTTGTTAATTGAGTAGTTTGATGGGACAATACTACTTATTGCTTGAAATTGAAAGGGTAACCAGTATGAGTTGGGTTAGATGAATTACTCACAAGAACAGAAAATCCTGAAGTGAGTTAGAGATGATTTAATCTGTTACTGCCTCATTGGGTATTAACAGCTACCATCATTAAAGAAGAAAATTATATACAGAGTTTCAGAAATGTTACTATTAATTGACTATTACAATTAGAGTGCCCTAAATTTCTTGAATTATTTTACTTGGTGGGATTCAGAAAGACTTTGAAAATTTTTCAAAAGTAATAAAATATCTAGATATTAGAAATACATTTTTTTCTGTAGAAGTTTTGTTTCATTAATGTTTGACCATTTTAGGGTTAGAATGCAGTGTTACAAATCCCATTGTGCAGATCTGAGGTAATTCCTGCAAACCTTCTTAATTAATTCCACAAAATTTTAGACACAGAAGAAAATTGCTGTAATCTGCTTGCTCATCTTTAGAAAGAAGGAATACTACAGCTGACAGGAGAAATATTTTCTGTCTGTCCAATTGAATTTTTGAACAGGGGATAAGGTTAAGGATAGAGTATGGAAGGGTTTTATAAGTTTTCCAGAACTGTCATCAAAATTTTATGCAGGATGTGTATGTGTATATTTATAGAGTACATATACTTTATCAGTGTTGAACCAGCGAGGTTAGTTGTAGAGATAAATATCATAATCTGCCCTTGAAACTTTTAAGACTCATTGCAATTACTACTCTCTGGGGAATAATTTGAAAAAGGAAATTAAAACACAGAGAAGATTGCAAAAATGTGGGTCTTTGGCATTTTGCTTTATACACTACAGCAATATAATTTCTTGTACATGAGAATCTAGCACTAAATCATTCAAAGCACTAATAATCTGGATCTTTTCATAGTGCTGAGGAGTCTTTGCAGCCTAATGTGGACAGTGACCACAAAAGATGACTCTTCTTTCTCACAACTGTATTGGCTTTTGTTTCTCATTACTGTGCTGTCATGAGCTTAGTGTGGTGTGATCGAAGAGCGTTTGTTTTAGAAACCTTTTCCTGTGGTTAGGTGTTGGGGGGGCAGACATTTGTGGGGAAATAAACTACACAGAGAGTAAAAGAATGAATTACTGTATAAGGGGGTTTTGGAGCAGGAGAGCACACAGGAACAATTCTGCTACTAGCAAATTCTGACAAAAACAAAGGCAAAAAAAGAGAAAACCACCTTATTTTATATTAATCATTAAACAAAATATAGTGGAGCCTATTCTCAGTTCCACCTGACTGCATGCATGGAGGTTTCAAAAAGCTGGTGAAATGTGGCTTCTACCTAGTCTAGTGTGTCTCGTGTTTTGAGCCTACCCAGGACAAATTAGGCCCTTCAAGCCTCCTCTGAACTGTGTGGTGGCAAATATAATGAGAATGTGAAAAGCTTAGGCCTTAGAGAAAAACGGTGGTGTTTTGCGCTATTGATTTGTGTGTGATGAAGCTTCAAATACAGGATGTCAAGAGGGGACCCAAAATGAGCTTAGGAGTGTTACCACTACCCACACCTTTGGAACAAGAAGTGAGGCTTTATACTACTGGCTGGTGCAATGATTACTCTAAGTTAATTCCTCCAATGTGTTGTTTTTTCACACACTGAATTATTCTGTGTGTTTCAAGAAAGATGGTGATATGTCCCCTTCACATAAATGCTGCAGGACAAAACTCTCATATAGTTTCCTTCAGCTGTATCTCAATACAACTTTCAAATCAAATAGATCTGCCTCCACTTAAAAGTAAGTTAAATGTCTCAGCAATCAGCCTTGGCTGTCTAGTAGCCAGTAACCACAGCAGCAGTTTCACTGGGTGGACTTTGAAATATCTTTTTTTGGAAGACAGCAATGACATAGTTTGTGATTTGGATGACACCTTCTATATTCTCACTTATGTCTTTTTGGAGAGGAGGCAAAAATTAAACATTTAAAAGTTACACACGAATACATACAAATGTCAGGTCTGAATCTGAGCACTTCATAAGATCTAACAAACTATTTATGTGTATGTGTTTATAATTGTCCCTGGGAAGATTTTTTCAACATACCTTTGCAAGTGTTCATTTACATCCATGAACAGGATAGAGTTTTGTTGCTATGATATACACTGATAATGCACAAGGTACATCCCAAGACTGACAACAATAACAACAGTGGTCTATGGAAATGATTTCTGCTGCCACAGTCAGGTCTATAATTAAACAGGCTGATGGATTCAGCTGTTCTCCAGAGAAATTTCAGTTACCAAAAAAAGATGCCAGACCTTGGATTATGGCAGCACATTCTTTGTCTCAAGGGTCATGCATGGTTTGGTATTAAATGTTGTACACCATCTGCTGCTGACCTACATGACATAACAGGGTGTTCTGAAGCTAATTATTATAGTGACTTGTTTTACAAGTGCAATGTGCCCAGCATCAAGGACAATGGAAGCAGTACTCCCATCATACATTTACTGAGCAAGCCCTGAAGATGAGGAGCAGAGTTTCCTTAATAACTTTTTGCATTTCCCCCTACCATCTGCAGGGGAAATGTTATCACTAACTCAAAGAGGATGGATAAACTGTACCATATAGACTCTGTCCTATGTCTTTCTCAGTCACAAGAATCACCTTGGAACAAGGTTGTTTTTGGGTCTGTATTTGTTGGAGAAGGAGCCTCATTTCTGGTGGAAGAAATTGGGGTGGGTGATGTGCCAATGTAAAATCCTGGGTGCGAGATTAAAAATTCTTGTGGGTAAAATGTAACTCAGATGCTGCTGTGCAAACATACACATCTGAGGAAATTAGACTTACAAAGACCTGGGCTTGTCAGAGGTATTCTCCTCCATGTAAGTGGAATGCTTGCCAGGAAAGTTTTCATACAAGAACTCTCTAGATGCTTTTCCATGGTATCTCTCCCCCAAACCATGCTGCCCCTTACCCCGGCTTATTATCTACTTTTTTCTTGCAGAAAGAAAACGTACTAGTTTTTTGCAGTAATATTTAGTAGCTTTCTTCTAGAGCTAAACATGCTGGGCTGGAGCCTTGAGAATCTCATTGCTGTCACTGTAGGACCTGCTGCACACATCTGGAATGGACTCTTGATTTGAAAGCTGTTGAAGGCATTGATTTGAATTCCAGCTCCAACACATTTCATATCTGGCTTGGATAAAAAAGGAATATGCCTTGCAGTTTGGATCAGTGATGGAGAAGTGCAAGTACTAGACACCTGCTGCACACATCTGGAATGGACTCTTGATTTGAAAGCTGTTGAAGGCATTGATTTGAATTCCAGCTCCAACACATTTCATATCTGGCTTGGATAAAAAAGGAATATGCCTTGCAGTTTGGATCAGTGATGGAGAAGAAAACTTACTTTTTTTCAGTCTTTCTCCATTTTTAACTAAAGTGGCTACCAAAACATTTGATACTGATTTCTTTTTAGCAGAAACAAATGGGAAAGGCAAACTAGACTACAGAAGAACTCTGCTGAAAACATATGTAGCACTTCCCAGTATCATATTCTACCTTACTGAGCATCCAGACTTAGTGACATCCAGAATTAGCTGCATGTATTGGAACTCCTAAAACAAAAAAAGCTGATGACTGGATTAATGATTCAGTTTTCTAGTGACAATCAGATTATTTTTCCATCAGTAAGAGGAAATCTCATTAAATTATTTTGTTCAGCACAGACCATGTTTTTCTTGTATGTCTTTTGCTAAGATCACTTTAGCAATCAACGTCTTTACAGTTAAATTCAAAACACTCTTTAAGTTCACATTTGAGAATTTGACTTCAGTCTGATTATGCACATGTATCTGTACCTATTGTTATGTGACACTACTACTAACAAGAGGATTTTGTGTGACTATAGCTGATATGCTAGATAAGAACTGGCCCTACCTGCTTCAGTCCTGAGTCAGCAATCTGAAGGTACTGGAGTACAGTGCTTCCATGTATGAACTCTAAAGACTGACATGTAAATAAATAGCTTTAAACTCACAGGGATGTGCCCCTTCAATTCAGTCTGACTTCTGCATCACTGATAAAGATATTGAAATTTGGAAATACTCATTGTCTTACTTGTGAAAGAAATGAGCTTGAAATTTTCCTTATGTCAGTTCAGAACTGGGGAGTGGCCAAATTGTAAACAAATGAAGGGAACAAAATTTTCTTTCTTCCTTCTGTCAAATTTTTGTTTCTTGTTTGTTTTGGATTGGCAGTTGTGGAACATTGAAACCAGAAAGAGGCTGAGAAACATGTTTGGCCACCTGTCTGTAATTGGAGCTGGAATCATTGTATTCTGAGCAGGTGAGTAGTGAAGTCTATTTCCAGAAAGAGCCTTGCTGCTTTTACTCAGGCAAATGACCCATACATTTTAGCTGATTTTCTTGGCTTTGTTCAATTGTAATTTACCTCTTCTCCCATCTCTCACCCACCTCAGAAATCATTAGTAGATTTATGGTACAACAGGAAAGCAGCCAAAGAGGATTTAACCTGTTTCTGCAGTCTCTTTCTTACTTTCCTTCCAAAAAACTGTCACCACTTGCAGAATTTCACTATGCCTTGGAGACTGTGACTGGTTTTGTGCAAAGCTTGAGTTTGAAATAGTTTTTTCTCCAGTGGGTCTGAATTTTCGATATAATGGCCTGCCCTGAGCTGGGGAGCAGCTGTAACTTCGATGGCCCCACCACTGATATGAAGACTCCATCTGCCTTTCCAAACACACAGCAAAGCACAGCTGTTAGAAGTTGCACACATCTCTAGCTGTGTATCTGCAAGGAAAGGCCAGCTCATTGCTATCTACAACCCAAGAATGGATGGATTGGTTGACCTTTGCATTGTCAAGGGTGTATTCTTTAGCAGCAGGTGAATATTTTGCATTTAGGGATCATTTCAGTATGTGGGCTCAGATGACAAAGATCAGATGTACTCTTGTGGGTTTTTTTAATCCCACTTTCTGTTTCAGATCTTTGACTCACACATGAAGGGGTTGAGGAGAGACTTGTGCATGATGAATGCTTCTGTGATTTTAAAATCATATGTTAGTGTTCTGTTTTACTTAAATGGAATGATAATAGCAAGGGTAGGCTGACTTCATTAACTCACAATGAAACTAGTATCTCTTGATAAGAGCAGCAGTGGTAGTTTTATTTTTGGCTTCACAAGATGCTCTGGTTGTGGTTCTATGAGGTCTGCAAGGTGGAGGTACAAGGAGGTACAGACACACCAGCTGAACAAACAGTTAATAAACTGCAGTTACAACTATACTGTGTGGGTTAGGTTACAAGGATGCAGGTGTAACATCCTGCCAGTACCAAGTGGCATAACCTCACTGCAGTAAGAAATAGTTTTGGTTCACATTTCCTCTTGGCCAAAGCAGTGAAAAAAACAGGAACTTCAGAGCAGAAATTGATGATAAAATTCAGTGTGAACCTGTGAAATACAGTTATGGTTGACGTATTAAGTTAGGTAACATTGATTTCTTTTTCCAGGTTTGAAATGAACCAGATAATTGTAATATTAGGGCAGAGTTAAAATTGCATGAGGACTAGAAAAAAAAATACATGGAGTTAATATTAATTGTTACTAAAATTAGAGCAGCATTCTTACACTAAATTTCGCTGTGGAAGTTTCCAAAATATCAATTGACTTTGGGATTACATTGTAATAGTTGTGCTTAAAAATAGTCCAACAGCACATCATCATGAGTCTGTAAATAAATTTCAATACCATAAAGTCCATTACACAAGCACAACACAACTACATTTCTTGCAGTAAGTCAGGTTTGTGTGTGCATTTTTAGTGCTTCCAAGTAATTCAACATGTATCTGAAAAATCTTTAAGAGCCATTGTGGGAAAGTCTCCAGTTACTAACCCGTACTAATATAATTAAAATCCTCAAATAAATCGATTGCAATTAATGTCAGATACCTGTTTCTCAGATACCCAGAAGGATTGTATTGAATTTGTTGATTTTATTTCAGTGTCATACTAGTTTGAAGTGTGAATTTCAGCAGGAATCTCTTCTGATTTCTCACAGGATTAATGTACGTCATATCCATAAAACATGGTAAAATGTATTGCAAGGTATTTTTGGTATTTTCAGTCCAACTCCCACATTAATGTGCAAAAGCCATATCTAGGAGCTAAACTTTAACAGTAGCAGTGCTTCCAGGCAGGGTATTCCTTCCTGCCTGTGGTAGACTGATACTAGAAGAGTGTATCAGACTGATGGTATTGTAGAACGGTGAATCCATTTCCTAGCAAGCACCTGGTCCAGCAGTGTCAAGCTGCACAGATTTTCCTAGGGCCTTGGAGTGGGAGGCAGGAGCAAGGCAAGGGAAGGGACAGAATCAAAGAATACACGGTAACTTTCCTGAAAGCCCTTTAGCAGTACAATGTAGTTTTACACTGCCTCTCTGCTGGGCGTGGAGTCCTACCTGGCTTTGGCAAAAATCACCTTGTGGAAGGATTTTTCATGAAGAGCAGGAAATAGTTTGCATTAAATGGCTCAGCAGTCAAACAGAGTGTAGATTAGTGGCACAGACTGTGTTCATGGAAAAGAAACTTGAGAGACAACAGGAATTCTGTCCAGCTGAAATGGCACAGCTGCTTGGCTCCTTCCTGCTGCCAGTCACCTCTGCAGTCAGGGTGTGCTTTGATACTTGTTCTGTCTTTCCTCTCACTGAAATGCTGTTGTTCTGCTGACACGTTTCGCTCTGATGTGGTTTGCTTCTGAAGAAGCATTGGTGTGATGAAGTTGCTTTTCATGCTCCATTAGCAATAAACCCGTGCTGTCTTTTCCCGCTCTCTACTGGGATTTGTCCATCACCGTGATGTTCAGATTGCTCAGCACCATGTTGGGATTCTTTGTCAAAACAAACAAAACATTTGCAGCCTGAAATTGTCACTAGCCAACCTGTTTGCTGGCATTTTGGTCTAGAGGTGGTATATTGAATATTTGGCCTAGCAACCCTGGGGTGGAATTGCAGTCACAGGCACTGAAAATCATACTTCCCTTCTTAGCAGTTAAGGTATATGTAAAAGGCATATTGCTCAGGCAATTTTTCAAATTATCTTACTGATGTCTGTTAGTTTCTTCTGTCTGTGATGCCATTAACTTTAAAACCAGTTCTCTTCATAGATAAGCTTGCTAGAGCTTTGATATACTGGATTAGTAGGCCTTTGGAAATATATTGTCAAACAGAAATAATGTTTATCACATTTTCTTCTATCTATGTACCTTCACAGAAAAGTTTGGTGGTGTAATACTTGCAAGTTTACAAACAAGATATTTTGATTTTTGGAGTTTGGAAAACTACTTCTGTTGTAATTAATTTGATGTATGAGGTTCTTTTTGCCCTCCTGACCATATTTTCATGTCATTGTTGGTGATAAATAATCTGAAGAAGGAAATTTTAAATGAAGTGATTTAAGATTCTTTATGTAGTCCCTGTCTGTGTGGGAGATAGGTCAGGTAATAGTAATAAGAGGCAGGAGAGACCAGTATTTGCAAGCTGTTTGTTCTCCCAAAAGTATCTGAGGCTGGACTTTAGTGCTGGTGTTAAAGGGTTGGGGAAATTTATTGAAACATGTGGAACTGAGCTCTGAGAAGCTTTTCTTCAGGTAGATTCTGGGCCTTAGGCATATCCTGGACATACCCTGGGAGAAATCAGGTCTCTTGTAAGCCCTGTAGGCCACTTTGCTTAGACTTCTGTGATGGCTTGGCTTAGGCAGTAAGACTCTGTCCTGCTTGGTTCTTCTGGTACTGACTTGTGAGTCCGTGGCCTCTGAAAGGCAAGCAGAGAAGCTAGAGTTTTATGAGGGTATGTAGGACAGTGTAGGCTGTGAAACAAGGGCAAGGGAAGCAGCATTTGGAATTTTGGGATTCTACACTGCCCTGAGTGTACATTCTGGGTACTTCTTGTAGTTCATTTTAATAGCTAGACTCCAAGCTAAAATGTCTAGGTTCTTCCTTCTAACCTCCTAATCTATTCTGGCATCTGTTTTCTTTTTATTTTTTAGGCCATGACCTGGTGTCCTTGGCAGTCAAAAGTCCTTGCTACAGGAGGTGGAATGAAAGATGGGATTTTGCGTGTCTGGCACATGAATTGTGAGAAAATCATCCAAAGTGCAATTACAGATTCACAGGTGAAATGATGAAATGTCTGCATACTTAGGCTATGCTCTTTTTGTATAGCTGTGCTCATTTGGCAAACTCCCACTGACTTTGAGGGTGGTTCTGCAGTGAGAGGAACAGCAAGGTTTTCTCTGGATGTGCAATTGTGCTGTGTTCAGCACCACCGTGTGTGATTGACTCAGAAGCAGTTTGTTGTTTCTCCTTCACCACTTCTGTCTCCATGCAGAAGTGATTGAAGAGGAGATAGTCTTGAAGCCAGACACTTTTCATCATCTTTCTTTGCTGGCAATAATAACTTTGGCCAAAATTCTAAATGTGGAGAGAATGCTAAAGGGGAAGAAAAATTCCCAGAGCATTGGGATGAGGAGAGGTGTAGGAGTCAGAGGGAAAACATCTGTTTCTGGAGTTTGAATATTAGGAGACAGAGGAACAGGTTCTCAGCTATAGTAAAGCAGCATAACTTGGTTTGCTGGAGCTACTACAATGTAGCTGAGGATGTGTTTTGGGGGCTTTTTATATTAATAGGTTGTTGCCATGTTTAGATAGGACAATGAAACAACCGTATTTTGAAGAGTTGAAAACAATTAAATGGCCCTTCTAAATAAATAAATACTCTGCAATTTCAAATCTCTGAATAATGTATGTTAAGCCCTTCTGTAAACTAAAGCAGAATTTTGAATTGCATTAGATTTCTTCCTTGCTCTGGTTACCCAGTGAACTGACAATGGGACAAGACCTTCCTGCAAACCAGATGAAAATATGGAAGTATCCCATGCTTGTCAATTCATTAGAACTCTATAGCAAGTACCTCTGCTATTTATCAGCCAAATCAGTCTGGTTTTGCAAGTGCATACCTTATGTAAAAGAAGCAGTAAAAAGCAGTCACCTACACATTTGTGTTCATGCACACAATCCTGATTTGTGGGATTGTAAAGGCTGACTTAATAAGACTGTGGTATAAATTACTTCTGGGAAATTCCTTGTTTTTAGTGCTGGGATTCTGTTCTATAATTCCTAAGGCCGTGCCAGGTGCAGGATGTGTATTGCCACTTCTTTCTAAGGCTGACTAGGCCAGGGTTGAATGTGTTAATGTCAGGTGGCTTCCAGTGCGTTCTGGCCGATGACCTTCTGGACAACACAAACCAAATGTGATTGCTTTTGCATCTCATGATGCAAGGATACTGAACCAGCTTTCAAATGATGTCCAAACCAAACCTCCATGTGTTATTTAGACATGTCTTTGTTTTAATGAAGGATTTTGCTGTGAAGAAATGTGGTGCAGAGTGTTTTCCTTGCACCCTGCCAGAGAAAGTGGGGTTTCCTTATAGCTCTGTATGGTTCTATGGTGCTGTAGGGCTACACTATATGCAGAGGTTGTTTCTTGCTATTAAGCCTCTTTGTCTCTGGTGTTACTCATGAACAGAAAAGACCAGATCATTGCTACACAGACATATTCCTGCTTATGAAGACTCCTAATAACTTACTGTAAGAAATTAAATAGTGGAAAAAATTGTGGATGAATCAAAATATGATCAGAATAAATGCTGTGATGATGATTGCGACTTAGATGGTTCTAAGTCAGCCTCAGACACTTTTAACCACGTAAGTTTTACACCCACAGAAATGATCTGACAAACTGTAACTGAATTTCATTTCATGAGCATCTTGCAAATGCTGAAGACCCCAGCTAAGAATGAAGACCTAGCAGCACCAGTTGAGCACTTTAGTAATTAAGGGTGACTGTCACTGAGCATATTCAGAAGAGAATGACAACTGAAAGATAGTAACCTTTTTATAGCACAGGGTAAGTTTTTGAGATGATTCTGATAGAACTATTAGAGTAATTTACTAGAAAAGAAAAAAAAGAAAAAGAATAATTTTGGATGTAACCTCCACTCCTTAGGAAAGTTGTTGTAGATCAATGAGAACATACAGGCAAGAAAAATATGTAATTGCTTCGAAAATTTTACCTGACCTGAACATGGTATTGAAACAATTAAATAAACCTAGAAAACACCACTCAAAACCCATGCAAATGAATAATTTCAACTTGTCTGATTTCTCCCTAAGTCACAAAGCCCTCCACTGCTTTGTGACTTAAACTGTAATCAAATTTCAATCACTGTTGTGGATAGTTTTGGGTGCTCCAAAGATTACAACTCAACATCCTCCTTCAAAGTCATTACAGACACTGAACAGGAACAGCATAAAGAATTCATTGAGTACTAAAATCTCAGTCCTAAGTATGGAAGATTCTGTACATTTCAATAACTTAAGAAGGAGCAAAGCTAGAAAATTTATCTGCTGAAATAATTTAGTGGTGTTGAAATTCAAGTAAAAAAGTTTAGCAGGAACTCATGTAGCTCAGCACCAGGACAGCAGGTATTTGCACTTAGTCGTAGTGTTTCCAGAGAGCCACTCTATCAGCTTCACAATTTAAGGGCAGACTTTGCATTGGCAACAGTCCTGTGGGCCTTCATTAGGCACCACAGGGCTGTACAGTTCCTCACATGTTTGTCCTTATAGTATCTTCAGCTAGAGGAGTGCCATTCTCTTGTGTTTGTGGAGAACTTGGGTACAAGTGATGAGAGGACACAGGTCACTCACATTCTTTTTAGCTGGTCACACATGACTTCTTACTTTCATGCTTCCTTTTAGGATGTGGTTTATCTGATCTGCTTTAGAAACTATTACTCATAAGATTTTTTCTTTTGGGGGTTTAGGTTACCAGTGCAATTGTCAGTAACTCACCCAGCCAGGAAAGACAAAGTCCAGTAACTTCAAGGAAAAAAGCTTCCAGTTTCTCTTGCTGCCATGTGCCTGAAAACCTCACATGTTTTCCTGGCATTGGCATAACTCTAGAAGATACAGGAAGTCTATGGCAGAGCAATGAGGTAAATGCAACTCTCAAGAATCTCAATTTAGTTCCAGATTCTTTCTACCTTCAGTTCAAGTTTGGTGGCTGCTTGTGGGTGAGATTTTTGTACAACCACATTAATGAGTTTAGTACATTCTTTGTGCTGCTAGACTGGGTAGCTTTCTGCTTTCCATGTGTAGCGCCCAAGATTTACGACAACAGCATATAAACTCAAAACACAATTCCACTAAATGGCTTAGTGGAGTCACTGTTAAAAGATGTCTTTAGCAGTAATAACTGAGCAGCTGGAGACAGTATCTCATTATTGTTGGATCAGCTGCTGCAAACTGTCTGCAAGGCCTGTGCAGCCAGATGGGAAAGCTCAGCAGTGAGAGACATTACCAAACACAGATGAGACTGACATTGTGAATGCATGGAGAACAATAGTTCAGGTTCAATGTGTTCCTTTGGCAGAAATGTCTCCTCAAAGTGGTGCAGACAGTTAAAGCCTACTCCCTATTAAGAATATATTTCCTTCAGCTCCTTATTTATATCAAAACAGTCAATAGAGGATGATAGCTTCCCACATCCTATGCAGCATGTTTGCTGCAGTAAAGTGGAACAAGCCATTGTGTGGGTGGTGAAAATGACTGGCATAATCAGTGTAGAATTCTGATGTATCTCTCTTTTTCTTTTGTATATGTTTTATTTTCTAGGTCTCAAAGGGATAATCTTGCATATAACCCTGAGCTCAGATCAGAGTAAGTTCATTTTTGTTGCAGTGGGTGGGATGTCTTGTCTGTAAAAACAACATGGGTCTGGGGAGAGCATGCACAGCGACAAAGCTTTTTAATAACAGTTATTTAACCTCACTCTTGTAACTTTTTTCTTGAAAGCCAGTGATTAATGTATTCAGCTCACTAAATAATTCAAAATATGTGTCTTCCTTCCAATAAAAACATGGCAAAGGACAGTACAATTTATTTAAAAGAACAAATTTTCTTATCAGTCTATTATGTGAAATCTTAGTAGCTTGCCTTACCCTAAAGGAAAAATATCCTAATTCTGAAGAATAATGTAATGTATATTTCAATTGTGTTAGCAAACATGGAAAGAATCCAACCTGTGTAAAGCACCAACATAAAGTGTTAGGTCCTACTTTTATCTTGGATTCTTGCAATAAATTTTACATTGCCTTAGCATCTCCATTGGTAACCAGATAGTAATTAATGCATATTGCCTGGAATCATTCAAAGACTATGGTGAGCAGAGACCAGTCAAGGTGTCTGCCTTGTTCTGTGTATCACATAAATTGTTGTATGGAATCTGTCAAAATACTCCTACCGTTCTAGATTAAATATATAATTAATTAGAAATTATTTACAGGGAATTGTTTATTGTTTTCATCATGGTAATGATAACTAGCATAATTAGAAAAATGTCTTAACTAGATTTTTAATTGCTTCCTTTCCTTGAACCCACCAACTATATTTGACAGTGATTTAAATTACAAAAAATTGCATAATAATTCTATTATTATGCGTTGTTATGTAATAATCTAATTAAGAATTCAGATGGACATAGTCAAAGGAACATGCTATTTGGGACAAACACAACAGTTAGTTCTTTTCTTAAGGGTACCGGTTCAATTCTGGTTGCCAGCAAACAGTGCAGCTGTCCCTGTATTGTGGATTTTATTTAGTGCTCACAAGGAATAAAAGCCCTGGACTTTAACATACGTTTGCCTTGCAAGACTTGTAGAGTACCAACAGCTAAGTAAGGCTGTCAGGACTGGACCTCAGAAGCTGTTCAGATACAGAGCAGTAGTGCTATTCATTGTGTTCTGCCTACAAACACCTTCGGAGCTTTGCTTTCATTGTTAGGAATGATCAGAGGCAAGGGGTAAGGGTTCATTCTTGCATTTTATATTAAAAGCCCCCTGAGCACAGAAACTTGTATTGTTTGGATTCCTTTCTTTTATAGTTTTTTCACAACTGAAAGTTTATTTAGAATGTTTCTTGTAGCAGGGAAAGATTAGGATATTAGGGGACTAGAGCAGTGCCAGTCTGTGGAAAATTACACTGTGGACAAATGCATGAGAAGAGACAAACAGGGGCACAAGTTATCTCTGTAAATGAATGTGAAACCATCATGTCTTTAGTTCTCATGATTTTTAAAACCTCATCTTGTGCTGCTCACAAGTTATGTGGTCGTTAAAGAGCAGTGCCAGTCTGTGGAAAATTACACTGTGGACAAATGCATGAGAAGAGACAAACAGGGGCACAAGTTATCTCTGTAAATGAATGTGAAACCATCGTGTCTTTAGTTCTCATGATTTTTAAAACCTCATGCTCACAAGTTATGTGGTCGTTAAGTTTAGCTCTGGAAGGTTGAGACCACTCATCTGTTTTACCTAGTAAGAGATTGCAATAAACCTCCTACTCACCTACTGGGCTCTCGTGTCATCTCATGTGGTCTTTAAAGCAGGTTAGAAAATGGTAATATTGGTTGTCAATTGAGAAACTGCTACCAAGAAAATGATGTCTAAGTGTGGGAAATAGCTTATACTTTGTCTATCTTCTAATATGAACAAGTTTGTTTCTGGAGATTTTACCAACCAATTAGAATCTGATTTATATACTCAAAATGGTATTTTAAGTAATTTATAAGGTTTTAGAAATATTAAAAACATTTTTCCCCATTTTGAATGTTAAAAGAATGAGTAGAATTAGTCTCTTGCTTATGCACTTTTTTATTTGCCCAGAAATTCTCTCTTTCCTTTGGCAGCACCTAAATGATGTTTGTATAATTTATATCCAGTATAGAAGGAGATTCATGACACAAGATGGGAGGCTGTAGCATGGTAGAAAGCAGGTTAGAAAATGGTAATATTGGTTGTCAATTGAGAAACTGCTACCAAGAAAATGATGTCTAAGTGTGGGAAATAGCTTATACTTTGTCTATCTTCTAATATGAACAAGTTTGTTTCTGGAGATTTTACCAACCAATTAGAATCTGATTTATATACTCAAAATGGTATTTTAAGTAATTTATAAGGTTTTAGAAATATTAAAAACATTTTTCCCCATTTTGAATGTTAAAAGAATGAGTAGAATTAGTCTCTTACTCATGCACTTTTTTATTTGCCCAGAAATTCTCTCTTTCTTTGGCAGCACCTAAATGATATTTGTATAATTTATATCTAGGATAGGAGGAGATTCATGACACAAGATGGGAGGTTGTAGCATGGTAGGACTTGACCAATACTGAAACCATGCACATTTTGTTGGATGCTGAAGTGTCAAAATAAGAAAGTACATGTTTCTCAGCCTAAGAACTTCTCATATCTTAGTTACTTACTGCTCATTGTTGACTAATCAAGCTGTATTGCCCCAGATGTATTTAAGCACAATATCTAGAAGTGAGAGAAGCTACTGATTTCAAAAGTCCATAACTATGAGAGGACCTTGTTTTTGTGACCTGTATATCCATTATGTGACCATATCTGAGAAGACATCTAAGCGTGTGTTCTGGACTGTAACTAATTTGAAATGAAATTAAATGTGTACTGTAATGCTTTTTTTCTGAATGTTCAGAGTGTGAAGCTGCTGAAAGTTGACCATGTTCTTGCACAGCTGCCTCATTCTGCCAGTGCAGAGGTCTTAATGTACAAAGTCTTGGTCAAAATTTGAAATCCTGAATTCCTCTCAGTAGAATATGGCATTCTTTTAGCTCATTGCCAGTTACATGCCTGGTGTGTTGCTCAGGCCCACGATGAGACAGAAATCAGAAGGCATTTCCAAGAAGTAGACTTGTTCTTCACCTGTGGTCTATATGGATTGAAAGCTGAGTCTCTAGGGGTAGGCACAGAGGTTTAAGAAAAATTAAGTTGACAAAAATCAGATCTTCATCCCTACAATCCTGTCCAAGGTGGGGCACTGTACAACATATAGAATCCAAAAATAATTTTTGCCTGAAGAAAAACTTCATTGCTCATACAGTACATGTGTCTTTCTTCCTTGGTATATCAATATGACAAAACAATTGTCTATAATATAATGACTGGGGAATCCATTTGTTCCCACACTTAAAAGCACTAAGTCTAGCAGACATGCCCTGTTCTGCCCCTACATGATGTGACTTGATGCTACCTGCATATATGTTACATGAATTTGTGTGATGCAGTTTATACCTGTTACTTCCCTCCAATTATCTCATATAGCCAGACTGAGAAGCAAATAATGACATCGAATTATCATAGCATTTTTCATAGCTAGTGTGGGTTCTGTTCCATAGTGAACAGAAACATAGGTGAAACTCTATGGTGAATGGTCTCATACCATGCCTCTTGAGCAGAGAGCTCCCCATCTAGAGGAAAATGCAGCTCTCTCTTGCTACTTCTTTTTTCTACAAGTTTATGCTACTGGCAGTAGTGACAGAGGCTGAAATTTTGTTTTTACCATGTAAGTCCAACTCTACAGGCTTATTTTGCAGAATTCACTAAAAATATCTATGTAAAAAAAAGCCCCATTTTAAAATCTATTTTAGGGTAGGTCCTAAATGTCAGGGTGGAAGAGGAAGGCTGCACATTTTTCTGTAGCACATTTCTTCATGTATTAAAAACTTCTCCTTGGTCAGAACCTGTCCTTCCTGACCTCTAAGGTTCTCCAACACTTGGCTCAGAACCACCATCTGGAAAATGGAGAAATACTGAATTACAGGCCTTTAGAGGGGTTTTTCACTGACAAGGGTGCTGTTTGTGACTTTTGGGGAAAAAGAAAAATCATACCAAAGAGGAAGCAGTATGAAGAAATAATGCAACAGCAACATGAAAGAAAGGCAGTGAAAATATGAGCAAAGAAATGAAGTAAGACTATGTATGGGAAGAGCGAAATAGCCCTAGATGGGCTACAGGTTGATAAGGACATTTTTGTTTCCTGAAGGTTTTTAGAATTAGTTTTTGCCTAAGCAGGGGTTAGGTAGTTTGCAAGAATAAAAAAAGACTGAAATTTCTTATTTCCTGTGTGTTTAAACACAGAATCAAGTCACTACTTTTGGGTGTTGGCAGCAGTCAGTGGGTCAAGTTCTTCTCTCAGTTTCACTGATGCAATCTTATTTGTCTGAGAATCTTTTTTTCTGCTCCTGCTTTGCTTCTGTGTTTGTGCATCCCTTTGTGTGTACATATTGTATGTTCAGACCAAGAGTGAGAAAAAACATTTATAAATAAGAATAGGACTGTGGAAATTTCTGACTGTGTAATGTAACAAAGGGAAAAAAATTGTTTTTCATAATCAAACTTTCCAGTAGAGATCTCTATAGTTTAGGCCTTCTTTATCTTCACCCTTCCTTACTTCTCTGTGAGAAAACTACTGTCTCTTCTTAATGACATCAGGTAAGTGCAGTTGTGTAAAAAAGTTCTAGTTTGTGCTTTCTGATTGTGTTTGTAAGTAGTGCTTAATTGCTTAGAATGGATGGAGCAATAATTTTAAAATTAAAATCAATGAAAAATATCTCCACCCTTGAATGTTCCCTGCTTTCTCTTACCTAATGCTTACCTCCAAGTAAAAACCTCTTGAAGCAACACAAAATAAATCCAAGCCCTTCTTGAGGTGCTCATGGCATTGAAAATGCCCAAGTCTGTTAATACAGAAGCAGGCAGAAGCATTTTCCACAAGAGGTCTATTTGCTACTTGATGAATGCTTGTTGAAACATTTAAAAATTTCACTGTATGTCTGAAACAGCAGTACTGGCATCATAAAATTAA